TGTGTGTGTGTGTGTGTGTGTGTGTGTGTGTGTGTGTGAAGATCTTTGATCACCAAGGCTTCCCTTTTAACTCTGAGAAAGCTTGTCACTGATTGCTTCAAAATATTAACTTCCCGGAGAAAAATTGCATATTAACCAACATGCTTGTGTCATGCCGACATTGTTACTCTGTTTACCAACTGCTTATGGGTTCAAATCAGAGAGGCAGGTGGGCAGCAGACCACGTGGTTTCCCAGTGAATGTCTAGACTCGGGTGAGCAAGGAGCCTTGACTTGATTCTAAACCTGGTGGGTCCTGCAGTGGGAATGGGGAGTGGGATGGAATTTGTCAATTCCATAACAGATGGTTTGGATTTTGATTGGGATTGTAAATGAATAAGTTATTGATTTGGGGGAGAATTTGTGATTTAGTAATATTGAGCCTTCCATCTTAGACATAGGTTTGATTTTCTCCTGGGATATCTTGTACATGTTTCTCTGGTTCACTCACTGGGACTTTACTATTTTTACTTATTTATTTATGACTTGGATCTTTCCCCCCCCCCCCTAATCAATTACTACTCTTGCATTTTTACTGCTGATCTTGGATCTGGCTACTTTGTTGAACTCACTCTTACTTGTTTTAGAATAGCTAGACAGCTAATTCTCCATACTTTCCTGGCTAGAGGATCCTGTTAGGGTAACAAAATGCCAGTTTAGTTCTTTCCAACCTTTATAACTCATTTCTCACCCCTTCCCCTTTGGCAAAGAGTTTCAATACAATGTTATTGGTAGTGGTGATAATAGACAATTCTTGTGTTGTCCGAGAGTTTTGAAGGATTAACGCTAAGGTTTCACTATGAAGTATGGTGTTTTCAGATTTCGAGTAGAAGTCCTTTATCAAATTCTATTTCTGATTTGCTAGTAGGTTTTTAAAAAGCAGGTGTTGACCTTTACCAAATGCTTTTTATGCACTTATCAATGTGATCAGATGGTTTTTCTGCCATCTACATTATTCTTATGGGAAATCATTTACCTTATTCTGCAATCTGGAATGGCTTGTGATATATTGGAGTTACCTGCTCTTGAAACATTTGGGGGAAGTTGACCTTAAGATCATCCATGCATGACGCCTTTTTGGTAGGTCTCTATGATTTCAACTTCTTCTGTGGATGTTGGTTTATTCAGATTTATTGCTTTTTCCTGGGATAAATGTTTGTAATTTATATTTGCCTAGAACAATATTTTATCTAGGACTTCAGATTCATTGGCATAACTTTATGCATGATGTTTTTTATGATTCATTTGCATCTGAAGGTATATTTTATTCGGTTTTCCTGATATTCATTTGTTTCTTCTCTAATTTTTCTGGATCAATTGCCCCAAATTTTATAGTTTTATCAGTCTTAAAAAAACAAACAAACAGCTTTTGGTTTGCTGATAATCTTTCCTACTTATTTGGGGGGAAGGTTATTTCGTTAATTTCTGCTTTGTTGATTCACTGCCCTCCCCCCATTTTAGTGTTTATTCTGTATTCTCCAGGTTTTGGTATGGGGTGCTTTCTTTGTCATTCAGTTCCCCAAAAATGTAATGTCAGATTATTTACACCAATTATTTAGAAATGTATTTTTGAACCTATGGGTACCTGGATTGTTCTTTGGTTGTCTTTTTGCAGTTGATTGCTAATTTTATTCAATGAACATGTTCTGAACGATATAAATCCTTAGGAATGTGCTGAGATTTCCCTTTTGACCTAATATGTGGAGGTTTTTTTGTTTTGTTTTGGAAGTGTTCTGTATGTTTTTAAAGGATGTTTTAAAGGATACTGGTTGTTGGGATCAGAGAGCTGACTATGCAAGTTTATTAATTCTCTAATTCTTGTTCCTTACTTTTTTTTTTTCTGTTTGATATTTTGCCTTCTGGAAGGTATAATAAACTCTCTCATTATTAGTGACAATATGTTAGTTTCTCCTTTTAGGTGTATCAGTTTTTGCTTTATATATTTTGAAGTTATATTGTCATGTGCATGAGGATTTATTATATTAACATGACATCAGTGAATTATTCCTTTCCTCAGTATGAAATATCCTTTGTTTTCCTTCCTTATGATTTTTGCTTGTATTGCTTCCTTTTCTTAACATTTCTCATTTATTCATTCATTCTTCTTTTTTTTTTCTTGAGAATTGATTTTACCATACTGTTTTATTTCTTTAAAAAAATTTTTTTTTACATGTATTTACTTTTGATAGAGAGAGACCAAGAACAAGTGGGGGAGGGGCAGAGAGAGAAGGAGACACCGAATCCCAAGCAGGCTACAGGCTTTGAGCTGTCAGCACAGAGCCCAACATGGGGCTCGAACTCACAAACCTCAAGATCATGACCTGAGCCGAAGTCAGACGCTTAGCCGACTGAGCCACCCAGGTCCCCCATACTGTTTTATTTCTGACACACTATTAGCAGTAACTGGTATAAAGCTATTCTTTTGTGTCATTTTTTTCCTCCCATATCTCCCTTCTTACTTCTATCTCTTCTTCCACCTTATAGACACACTTTCTAATGTGTTTAATTTCTGATTCTTGGATATGTCTATATTCCTAAAAAGATGTATAGTGCTTTATGTATTTTTTTTGTTTTTCATATGTTTTTAATTTACAAAAATGGTATTAAATGAATTTCTACTTCTTTTTGCTCCATGTTTTTTTTAATTTAATTTTTTATTTTTAAAAATTTATATCCAAATTAGTTAGCATATAGTGCAACAATGATTTCAGGAGTAGATTCCTTAGTGCCCTTTACCTATTTAGCCCTTCCCCCTTCCCACAACCCTCCCCCAGGAACCCTCAGTTTGTTCTCCATATTTATGAGTCTCTTCTGTTTTGTCCCCCTCCCTGTTTCTATATTATTTTTGCTTCCCTTCCCTTATGTTCATCTGTATTGTCTCTTAAAATCTTCCTATGAGTGAAGTCATATGATTTTTGTCTTTCTCTGACTGACTAATTTTACTTAGCATAATACCCTCCAGTTCTATCCACAGTGTCGCAAATGGCAAGATTTCATTCTTTTTGATTGCCGAGTAATACTCCATTGTGTGTGTGTGTGTGTGTGTGTGTGTGTGTGTGTGTGTGTATACACCATATCTTCTTTATCCGTTCATCCATCGATGGACATTTGGTCTCTTTCCATACGTTGGCCATTGTTGATAGTGCTGCTATAAACATTGGAGTGCATGTGCCCCTTTGAAACAGTATACCTGTATCCCTTGGGTAAATACCTAGTAGTGCAATTGCTGGGTCGTAGGGTAGTTCTATTTCTAGTTTTTTGAGGAACCTCCATACTGTTTTCCAGAGTGGCTGCACCAGCTTGCATTCCCATGCTCAATATTGTTTTAAGACCATATCATGTTATTATTTATATGTCTGGTTCATGGCTTCTTTTTAAAAAGATTTTATTTATTGGGGCACCTGGGTGGCTCAGTCGGTTAGGTATCCGACTTTGGCTCAGGTCGTGATCTCAGTTCGTGGGTTCGAGCCCCGTGTCATGCTCTGTGCTGACATCTCAGAGCCTGGAGCCTGCGTCAGATTCTGTGTCTCCCTCTCTCTGCCCCTCCCCGCTCTTGCTCTATCTCTGTCTCTCTCTCCCAAAAATAAATAAGCATTTAAAATTTTTTTTTAAGATTTCATTTATTTATTTTTTAAGTTTATGTAGTTTGAGAGAGAGCACAAATACACAGGTAGGGAAGGGGCAGA